CTCAGATTTCTAGAACGTACCAAAAGCTGCAAAAACCAATTTTTCTACGATATGCAGTAAGTATTAACCAAGTGGAGTTTGCGAATGCCAAACCTCCTGAGCTGAAATGCTGATTTTGCGATCGATTATGTTGATTTTGGCTCCAAAACTTTTACACGTTTCATAGAGATGTCCTTTACCAATGGGGATTGTTCCTAACACTCTGTAAGATCTTCGCTTGTGCGAAAGTGGAAATTTGCGTTGGATGCGAGGCAGATAAAAACTAGTGCTTGGGTTTTTCTAGCATAAAATTTTATTTCATACTGCAATGAAACTTTTTTGTGCATGGCCACTGATTGTCGGGCATCTTAATGGAAAAAAGAAATGAGTGTGCTGTTCGCAGCAAACCAATTCATTGGATTTCTGGTATTTTCCAATAGTTCGTAGAAAAACGGTCTGAGGCAATATAGATGCATTGGGAACCGTATGGTTACTAGTAAAGTTGTGCGACAGAGAATCATCGTAAGGAACGATTTTTGAGAAAGCTGAAAACAAAAACAATCTGTCAGCTGAGCCATATCAACGAAGTTCACTAATTTTTTTCATCTGACACGGCACTGGATGATATTTCCAGAAACCTTGAGCTCTAGATGTTTCAATTGCATTCTTTGAAAAGTAGATAACATACGAAAAAAGATCATCTTCCTTCTGATTTTTGCTTGCGGAAACCATATTGATGATCGTTAACATTGTTTGAGAACACTTGGTTTTACACTGAGAGCAAAGCAACTAGTTTTTAGTAAATTGGAACATTGTTTTTTGGCTTTTTGTAAGATAGGTTGAATGACCTACAGATCACTGGCGGAAGGTTCAGAAGCTTTATTGATGTTGAGCTCTTTCAGAATTCGTAACTTTGTAGGAGAGTAAATTTCGGAATCGTAGATTACAGAGTGGAAATAATGGGTGTTCATTATTGTTTTCACCTACTAATGAACCATTCATATTGTGAACTTCTTGAAATGTTGAAAAGCAGCATCAGCAACGGGGCAGAATCCGGGCTGATATAAGGTCGTGGTTCAATGAAACTTGTAGAAACTTACATTTCGTCTGCTACTGCGGTGAACATTATCAGTGGTATGTGCGTTGACTGACAAGATGAAAGTTATATGCCGAAGTTTCAGCAAAGACTGGCTGACGAGCTCTGTATTTATACGTATTCATGATTGTACAGTATCCCTAGTTCTATGGTTGTGCGGTTTGCAATGGAAAAAAATAGTGCTTTATATTGTTTCACTTGGAGGTCTAAACATTACTTATTCAGTGATTTTGGTGACACTATGTTTGAAAACAGCATCATATCAAAATTCTGAGGTTAGCAAGAAAGGCCACTATGGAAAATAAATATACTGCATGTCGCTTGAAAGTCTGAAGACACAAAAATATTTTTTGTGAAATATCCTCATCTATAAGGAATGAAAGTTTTGAGGTTCTAGATGTTCTTTTGTTAATAAATTCAAATGTTATTTATGAATCGGAAATCTTATTTATGAATCTGAAATGCAGTATATAATACGTTATATTATGAGCTTTGGTTTCGGTTGAGTAGAATTTGGAACTTATGGCATGAAATTAATCTATTGAAAAACACGTTTCCTCCGTCAGAATGAACATGCTGTTTATTAGTGGATTACTTTTGGAATTGGTAGATACTTAATAAAAGTACATAACGTATTTGAGTAACACTTAACACGCTGGAAATAGTATATTATTCAAAGAGCTTATAATGTCTGCTATTATGCACGAGGTGAAATTTAACTCACCGAGAGAATAATACTCATTATACGCAACTAGAATACTATACTTTATCCACGACTACTGAAAAATTTTATTGACTTTTATCTGTTGGAAAATTGTGTTGCATTGCACATATCTTTTTAGAAACACTATTACTTTATTCTAACACATATCCTATCCTATACATTATTGTTTATCTATATACAGTACAGAGTTGTTGAAAATTATAATACTCGTATAATATCTCACAATAATTGAAAAAAAAGCCGATGCAGTCGTTCGCAATATTGCCGTTACTCCTTTCGTAACTATCATATTTGAACAAATTCCACACACAGATTACTTCAATACATTAAGGAATCTACTAACAAACACTAGGAAAAAAGATGAATGGTCATGGAAACAAATAAATTACGAGGAATAAATCCAAACATGCGCTCACAGAACTACCAATCGACCCAAATGAGACATCAAGTCATTCTCACTTTTCTTAGATATTATAAACACAAGACTAACTCACCAACACCTTATGAAAAAGAATATGCTGCGGAATGTGATTTTAGTGGTGTCATCAATAGTGTGAAAGCACATAATCCTGGAGTGCTCAGTTTTTGAATATGGAAGACAAGAGGTAACACTTCTCAGTGATATCAGTTCTGCATTCGAAGTAGTGAACTTGAACTCTTCATTAACTTTTTTGAAATATATTCATACATTGGATAAAACATTAATATATGACTATAAATGAAAAAAAAATCTAATTGTTCCTCCGCTAATAACACCTCGCACTTGGTGCGGTTATTTTGAAATAAAAAAATAAAAAACAATCTATGTATTTAGCCCATTTTTTTTAAGAAAAAAACAAACGCTATATAGGAAACTCC